CTTAAAAACTTACACTTTTAAATATTTTTTTAACCTCAAAAAGCTCTTAAACAGTAAAAGTTCAAAAGCTTCAAATCCAAACTTTTCATAAACTCCCTTTTTACTTACTTTTCACTCCCTTTTTCAGCTTCCTAAAAGCTAAAGCTATATTTTCCCTCCAATAAAAATTTAAACTTATCACTCATAACAGTACTCAAAAAGCTAAAGCTCTCACAAGGCACACCAAACAGGCCCTAATAGTTGAAAATTTTCTAGTCTAGGAAAATATTTTCACTTTATGTCTTAAAACTTTCGTTATTACGTATTTAAGGTTTTTTTTACAAATAATAAAAATGGTGTAAAATCAATTAAAAATTACATCTTACTCATCCAAATAGCAACAAAATCAAGGTTAAAACAAGAAATTAAACATATAAAATGCATCTCATCATTTCACTTCATCTTGCTTTTCGCCTTTGATAACACCGGTACATACCATTTTCATGATAAGATTTTGCTGGGAAAATCGAGAAAAGATGATAAGGTGTCTGAGTTGCAGTGAGGTTTGGGGGTTGAAGAAGATATTTTGGGGGAGAGAAAAATGCAACAAGGGAACTCTTCTAAACAACACCTCCATTCACACGAATCACTTGTCCATTAACCCATTCACTAGCATCACTGGCCAAGAACCCAACAACAGGAGCCACATCCTTGGTTTCACCAAGCCTTCAAAAAGAACACTCTTCAATTACCCTCTTTATCTCCTTCTCACTTCTTCCAGTGAAGAACATGTCGGTGACAGTCGCCCCTGGTGCCACACAGTTCACAGTGATGCTGCTTCCTTTGAGCTCTTTTGCCAGAATCTTTGTCATTGTCTCAATCGCTGCTTTTGATGCAGCGTACGCCCCAGTACAAGGCCTCAATTCACCCACTATGGATGAGGACAGCAGGATGATCCGCCCACCGCCACCACGCTTCAACCTGTTCGCTGCCTCTCTGCAGCATAGGAATGCCCCTCTAGTGTTCACACTGCAAAGTGCAAACATTTATTACAAACATACTTAATGTTAATCGTAGCTGTTTTTTTAGCATAGATTTACCCAAAAATTCTGTCGAAGTCCTCTACGGAAGTGTTGGCTATGGTGGGTTTGGGTTTCTTGGGATTCGCAACTCCGGCTGAGTTGACCAGGATATGAGCATCTGAGTGAAAAACCTGTTCAGCAGTGTCAAAGAGGGACTTGACCTGGGTGGGATCGGCAACATCAGCTGGTGGGTTTGGGTTTCTTGGGATTCGCAATTCCGGTTGAGTTGAACAGGATATGAACATGTGAGTGAAAAACCTGTTCAGCAATGTCAAAGAGGGACTTGACCTGGGTGGGATCGGCAACATCAGCCTGGACCGCGACGGCTCTTGGAGTGCTAGCACTAGTGGGAGAAGAATTGATCTGATCTGCCACAAGGTCAGCTAGTTCCTTTTTATAATAATAGTTGATGACAACTTTTGCTCCAAGTGAGGCCATATGAAGAGCAATGGCTCGGCCGATGCCTCGAGATGCTCCGGTGACTATGGCTACTTTGTGTTGTGGAGGGAGATCACATGAGATTGAATATATTTATTTATTTTTTTTTTATCAGCACATGAGATTGAATTAGTAGTCATAACGGAGTAATTGTGTGAATTAGAAGGGAATTTCTGGAGAGAGGAGACGGTACGTTAATTAGGCCGGTCTTTTGCATTGTCAGGGCAGGGTGGGTATGTCCTGTGATAAGGATTGCATTATTGCAGATTGCCTTATTGCAGATTGCCAAGGCTGAAAATGAAGAAAATTCAGTCTTCTGGGCTTTTTTTACAGAATTATGAAAAATCAAGAGGATCTAACAATTTTAAATGTAAAGATATTCTAATTATTTTTATTTTTATTTTTTTAAAGGGTTGCAAGAAGTTAAAACTGACTGACAATCTCGGTTAACAATCTTGGCTTTCCATTTTTTTGTTTTTTTAATATAGTTTATACCAAAAATGTATGGTAAAAGATATTTCAATATGTGAAAGTTTTAGCCTTTACGTCAATGTCTCAAATTCTAATTCTCAAAATAAAGAGGAGCGGCTTAAGTAGAAAGGGTTTCCTGTTGGATGAGCATTCATTGTCTTCACTCCATGACGTACGAATATGCCACCAAAACAAACTGAACCATTAGAATATCAGAGCCTTCAAGAAAGAAATTAAAAAAACAAAAATACTAGAATGTACATTAACTAAATCTTAAATTATAAGGTGTCATAGACTCATAGTAACATGAGCTGATTTTTTGTCTAAATTAGAAACACAAAAAATAAAAATAAAAATGTGTTTACAGAATAATGGATTGTCATTTTGTTAAAGATATTTTAATAAATTCATATAATAAATTATATTTATTGCACAATTTCAACAATAATACATGAATCCCAGCAATTATACTAAATGTAAACCAACTCGGCCCATATATATACATATAAAAGCAGGCTTT